TTTTGATTTTGTAGCATAAACCTAATGACTGTATTTTATTATAATCAGTAACTCTATTTCTTTTTTTCATTTTGTTTTGTAATTTACTTTATATGGACTTTGTCTGAAATAAATAATAATAATATGGTCACCAGTTCAAAACACACATGTGGTATCTTTTCCATATAGAGCATTACGTTTCCCATGAGTTTTATTTTCTTATAAAAATAATGTATTTCTTCATAGATACTTAAATCTGTTTCACTACTAGATCAAATGGCACATAAGTCATGATGACTCTGTAGTGGGTATACGCATACTTACATAATCAAAGCAACTCAGTGCAAGATCTCTTTTTCCTTGTAGCATCAAATATCTGGACTTCAACCAATAAACTGTAATATCAGATATGAAAATCTAACTTTCAATTCAAAGAAAATTTTAGCCTAATTTAAATGTGTTTGACAATAATAAAGTAACTTATTTTATTTTGTGATGTGTTGACTCAGGAACACACAAAACATCAAAGAAACCAGAGAGCTTTCAAACTTTACTTCTTGTTTATTCCGCCATTTTCAGTTACACCACCCGCACTACTTTTACATATCAATACACTCGGGTGATCAGGTGACATAACACCATTACAAAAGTATGTATTCTGGCGCATGCAATAAAGTAGTCCCAAAAACGTCACATATTTCATCACTTGGGTTTTCAGACATTCAGTCTTCTTAGATTTATTGCATTCGAATTGTATTACAAGCGAAAAAATTTGTTAATAAATTTTCTTTTCAATCAAAATTTGTAAAAATAGCAATGACGCCTCTCACGTACGGCATAGTGTAAACCATGTGTTTGTTGGAAAATCTTGTAACTCGCACACATATTTACATAATCAACATTAAACATAAAATCCCAAGATTTGTAAAAATAACAAACATGTCACTCACCGCGTACAGCAAAGTGTAACCATGTGTTTGTCAGGATATCTCGGAATGTAGATAAACTTTCCAGGTAAAGTAGATCTGATGAAAATAAGTCGTGTGTACCAATTGGAAATGACTCCTGCCCAGAGCTGTGAGATACACCATACACACAAAAATTTAATAGATTTATCGCAAGACCAACAGGACTCCCCAGCTTCCATGCAAAAGATTGTAGTAATTCTCAGTAACACAATGGGATAGAGATAAACAAAGATATTTAATGTATAAATTGAAAATACTGACTTTCCAAGAAGGCTTGCGGTAGTTCCTGATACCGGTGACTTCATTTTAGCAGACAACCATTTCTCCAAGGTCTGTTCTGCATTGACCAATGCCATCAAGGCAAGCTCTTTGATGAACTGGTTAGAAATTGATTTACTGAAATAAACAAGTCATTTAATGTTGAATTTCATCAGCAGCATAGCCATACAATCAAGTCTGAAGTGTATTAAAACTCCCTAAACAACTTGTATTTTCAAAATGATCTAAGAAGTGTATTAAGAAGGTATTAAAGTGACTTGATGAAATTATAGTATAGATATAAAATTCTAAAAAGACAAAGACTAGTATAGTTTTATACCTACTACATATACACTACAATACTTACCAATAGTATGACGGTAAAGTTAAGTGATTCCTTAATCTCTTGTGAACCTCTACATATACTTCACCTAAACCATTTGGCCTGAAAACAAAAACATTGATTCAGAAATAGTAAATACATTTTAAGAAAGGATTCACCCAAACATACATGTAATAAGTGATGGATAAACCATGCTGTGAACACACCAGTATGAAACACCAATTATGATTGGTTGAATCAGAATGACATCACCAGTAAATTTACATATTGATGCTACTTACCATTTATGGTCTGATTTCTGGGCTAAGACAAGACAGTACCTAGTCATCAAATCCACAACACCGTTATTAACCTCGTGTTTTTGTAACCATGTTTTGATGTCTTGGTTTTCAGCGCTTATAAATGCATCATCAGATTCAGTGCCTTGGCGATAAAAAACACAGTGGTTGTAACAAATTGGAAACAGTACAATGAAAATGGAAATTATGCAAATTAGCTTCTTAAATATTCAAAATAACAACCCTAGTGTCGTTGAACTGTAAAAAAGAAGGTACCCGTTATGTATTCAATGAATACGTTGATGTAAGCATCTGATATCACTTCTATATAGAGCTGGGTGATACGAGTGACGTGAATATGCATCCCATGACACGAAGAGTCTCAATCACTATACGTACACATCAACGGCAAAAAAGATTTGAAAAACAATTATTTTCTCATGTTGATGTAGCATTGCAAAAAAAACAGTTGCAGCAGCAAATAAATATGCATCGCATTACTACAGCAGTAGACTATATATAGCTACACTTCCATCCATTGTCATGAATCAGTATATATTCTCTTAAATTCACCAGCCAATGGCGTGATTTCGGCTCGTGTTGAGCGTTCAGGCAGCAAAACTTGGCACGTGCTAAGTTTCAGTCAAGAGCATCTATGGAGACCAAGATCAAGTTTTTTTCACCACGTGCAGATTTGGTTCCTTCTGTTCACATACACATTTCAGCACGTGCCGACTCGTCCAAGAGTCTCGTGCAACTAGGCTTAAAAATCATATTGTTAATTTGCGTTCATAGTTAAGCGTGTCGATTCATATGCATTTACAGTTACGACCACCAATGGTTTTCAAAATCAGCAGAAATATTACTCTTCATAGCAATTTTTTTTCAAATTAAACTTAAATTTGTCATTATTTTGAGTTATTGTCATTGTACTGTGTCAGTATTTGTTATCCAGTGTGAAAATGTCATATCACAGACAAAAATACTGTCGACCAATTTGGTTTTCTCAGTTTACTGTTCATGGACACACAGACTGTTTAGTGAGAAACATCAGTGATATTTCACACTAAAGGATACTTCTGTGCAAGATATATGCACCACGTCATGTGTAAAATAGTTTGGGGGGGTGGGGGGTGAGTACCTGATGTTCCAGTATGCGCCATATCAGATTCTGCTTTTGATGCAT